GGAGAACTTAGCATACAACTGCTTCTCTTTCAACACATATAACACAACCCTCAGATGCTCAGCATGATCTTATTAACACTTTGAATAGATCAAAATATCATCAATGAACACAATAACAAACTTATCCAAATACTAATGGAAAATCCTATTCATGTATTCCTTAAACATGCCAGGTGCATTGATACACCGAACAATATTACAGAATACTAATAGTGACTATACCTTGTTCTAAAAGAAGTCTTCTAAATATCTCAAGATTTCACACGAATCTTATGATATCCAGACCTTAAATCAGTCTTACTAAACACACTTGCACCAACCAACTGATCCATCAAATCATCAATCCTTGGAAGTGAATACTTATTCTTAATAGTCACCTTATTCAACTGTCTATAATCCACACATAACCTCATAGAACCTTTCTTCTTCTTAACCAACAACACAGGTGCACCCCATAGTGACACACTCAGACGAATAAACCTCTTCTCGAGAAAATACTCAAGTTTACTATTCAACTCTTTCAATTCAGATGCTGACATCCGATACGGAGCCATCAATATTGGATTGTGTCAAGTAATTGAAGGTGAGAAAATACACAAGAAGGGGGTTGAATTGTGTAACTGATAATTTAAGGTTTTTTAATTAGCAGCTTCTGAATCAGACCAAGTTTAGATTCTAAGCTTGAGTATGCAGCAGTGTAATATTTAAAGTGCATAAGCTATATGTAAATCACACACAAAACATATTAAGGTTCCTTTATAATGAGAGTAGTCCAGTCACAGTGTCACACACGGGCTTTTCACTATAATCAGTAGATGGCTACAATTTGCTTAGACACATCAGTCCAAGACTTCCTGCTCAATCTAACTAGAAAGAGACTTCATTCCCAAACCAACTATCCAAGACTTCTTTTCTCAATCCACCTAGAAAGAAACTTCCTTGCCTAAACCAACTGTTCAGGACTTTCTTTCTCAATCAAACCAGAAAGAGACTTACTTTCCTAAACCAACTATTGAAGACTTCCTTGCTGAATCAAACTAGACATAGACTTCCTTGCCTTAACCAACTGATCAGGACTTTCTTTCTCAATCAAACTAGAAAGCGACTTTCTTGCCTAAACCAATTGTTCAAGACATTGTTTCTTAATAAAAATAGAATAAGACGTTTCCAAGTTCTAAGAAAAATGTTTAGATTATAACAAGATATACTTGATATACAATCAAAGGTACAAATAATATAGCACACACAAAGACCTTGATACATGATATTTTCTAAGAAATACAAGTATAAGAATATTCTTAAGTTTATGAGTAATACAATAACTATAAATTGCAACATTAAGAGTTATTCAGTTCTTGTAATATCTGATTTTCTATTGTTGTTCTTGTTGTATTATTCTTGCGTTGATCTGTTTTAATCTTTAGCTCATTTTTATAGAAATAACAAAAGAGAAGTTGGAAGCTTTCTTATACATGTGTCTTTCTTGAAGAAGTTATTCCTAAGAGAGAGACGTTGAAGTAGGTACAATAAGTATCTTTATCTTATGCATAATTGCATTATCCATTGTGTCTTTCTCAAGTACATCATTCATAAGCATGAAGTAGTAGACTGAAGAAATCATATAAGTTTGCCTTGAGCCTTGTGCTAAAACCTCTAGTTAACTTCCTCTATAATTCAAGCCGTTAACAAGATGTAATTACTTTTGCACAGAGTGCGGACAAAAGAGCTTTGTACTTGTGCTTCCATCAAGGTGTTTAGTTTTGTTAGAATTATCAAAGGAAAAGTCAATATAGCTACTAAGTTTATATTCAAATATCATAATCTTCAATATGACACTAAGGTTTTGCTTGAAACTCGGGTTCTGATCCAGTAAAATCTGGTTTACTTACTTCTTCTTTACATGCTTTTTAAATAGGTTAAAACCAAGTTAAATACAATCTTAATGTTCCTACACATTTAATAAAACATTACCCTATTTTTATTTAAGTACTTTTGTTATCATCAAAACACAAGGAGTATACACTCAATTAGTGTGAATAGACTTTGTTCCAACAATCTCCCCTTTTTTTATAATGACAAACATAAGTATTTTAAGAACAATTGGTTGGTCCATTTTAATAATTTGACAACATCAGAGGATGATGTTTGTAAGCTTCCATTGAGTCTAACAGTCCATAGGTTGAGGTTTTTAAGATCCACCTAAGTTCTATCCAAATTACTTAAACCATTTTTATTAATAACTTTACAACACCAGGGTCTGAGGTTTGTAAGCTCCCCTTGAGTCTAACGATTCATAGGTTAAGGTTTGTAAGCTCTACCTAGACTATGTCCAAATTATTAATTTTGTTTTATTAACTTTAGTTCAGAGCCTCAGGTTTGTAAGCTTTCTCTAAACTTTAATAGTTCACATGTTGAGTTTTATAAGCCCCCCCTTAATGTACTATCCAAGTTATTAGAACATCCTCTATAAATTTTAAGCACACTTTGATTAAGTTGAGAATTCAGGACCTGGACAAAATCTCATTCTCACATAGAAAATGTCTTTATAAAAGTCTTGAAATACTTTTCAATAAATCACAGACTTCTTATTACACCATGGATTTGGATAAAAGCATATTTTCACATAAAAAATGTCTTGAATTCAGAATCTTAAAAGCACATTTTCACATGGAAAATGTCTTTACCAAAGTCTTGAAGTACTTCCATATTTCACAGACTTTTTGTTACAACTTTAAGCATAAAATGATTAAGTTGAATAAGTTGGGTTCAGACTATTGATAAAACACATTCTCACACAGAAACTATGTTTTTTTATCAAACTCTTTAAATACTTTCATATTTATCATGTAATTCCCCCCTTTGTCATAAAAAGGAAACAAAAAGACAGAAAGAAGAGAAAAAATAAAAAAAGAAAAAAAGAAGTTCTGAGACAGAGGAAAACAGAAAAAGATTATGCTCAGAGAGAAAACAGTAAAAGAAGTAAATAGTCAGTGAAAATACAGAAGCACGTTTGATAGATAAGAATGTAGACTACAAATTCCAATATCGTTTAGAGTGAGATTCACACATTATAACATAGGTTAAGCTACCAGCAAAAAAACCCAGAGCTGCCACCTAACTAAATTTATCCCAAAGGAAGGGGAAATATCGAGAAACCCACAAGAGGATGGATAAGATGGTCTTGCAACCAAAAGAGAGGGTAAGGAAGTATATTATGTGAGGGGAAGGTATTAGTACCCCTTGCATCCGTTGTACTCAACGGGATCCATTTTAATTATTTGCTTCTAAGAGTGTGTCTATCTATAACTATACTTTCTAAGGGGGAAGAAATGGTTTTTTACTAGTGCGTTCGTGAGGGTCTCGCAACCCTTTTCCTATGTATCTAGTGAATGAATCAGAACACCGTAGTTCTTCTAGAAAATGTTGGTTTGTTGGTATTTTTTAGTGGGCGACGTTAACGCATGCATTCTAGCAATAGGCACGGTCTGTATCGCGGTAGAACAAAGATAACATGCCCTTTTGAGGATATTTTTGATTTGTTGAATGTTTTGTTAAATTGGAAATGGGTTTGAATAATGATTAAGTGCTTTTGATTTTTGATTAAGGAAAGAAGTTTTTGTTTTAATTTACAAAAGAAGAAAGAGTCTAAGAGGGAGACTAAAAAAAACCGTAATTATTGTCATGTACGAAGATGAACCTAATATTGAGTGTAAAATGGAAATTCTATCCTAAAGTTATCATACGTAGTTTCTTTCCTAAGGTCTAATTCAACACGAAGCGATCAAAGATGAATTTAAACGCTTCATAGAATCACTTAAGGGAACATGTAACAAAAAAAATCAAACAAAGATAAAGAAATTAAATTTTTAATATTTTTTTATGATTTTTATAAAAGAAAATATTATTATAATGTTTTTTTATAATTTTTATAAAAGAAAATACTATTAAACCCTAATGTTAAATATTTTTGGTATTAAAAGAAAATTAAATCTAATTCTATTTATTTTGTGGTTTTTTATCAAGTAAATAAAAGAAAATAATATTTTTTATGATTTTTATGAAAATAAAATATTAAACCCTAATGCTAAATATTTTTGGAGTTTTCAGGCTAAAGAAAATTTAAATTAAAAGAAAATTAAACTTATTCTAACATTTTTTGGTATTTTGTCATGCTAAGAAACATTGAAATTAAAAGGAAATTAAAGCCTATTATAATATTTTAATATTCTTGTTATTTAAATCATGTTGATAAAAACAATATAGAAAATCCTAAAATTAAATAAAGAAGAAATTATAGAAAGTTATGGAAAATGAGAGCAACTAGGGGTGCTAAGCTAAAAGAACAGGGTATGAGTCAGTAGAGCCTTTGGGTGCAAGAGGCCCACACAACTGAGTCCAAGAGAATATTTTTCTTGTTCAGTCTGATTTTAGGTTGTAAAAAAATGAAAAAATGGAATGGGCTCAGGACATTGATTTAAGCCCAACGAAATGCAATTAAACATGTATCATAAACTCAACATTATCCTCCCATTACCATATTACCACATTATTATTTAACAAAAAAAGATATTAAAACTAAAAAACTGGTGAAACATGGAATGAAGCTATACAGTGAAAGCTAGGGTTAAGAATTAGGAATTCCCAACTTCCTCTTTAAATAATTCAAACCAAAATCTCTACTCTCTCTCTCTCTCGCACGGCTATGACGATGAACGAATCTAAAACCCATCTTCGTCGCTCCCCAATATCCCTCTATCTTTCCTTCGTGCGCTCATAGACAATCGTGGTTGCCTCCATACCTCTGCTTATTTTGGTTTCAACCTCTTTTCTTCTCCGAATCTAACAATAAAACTATGAAGAAACCTAGAATCTTCCAAGCATGGTTACATGAATATCGATGAAGAATCAACACCTAAAACCTAATCCGCATATTCTACAATCTGATATAAAGAACAAGAGAGGAAAATGAAGAGCCGAATGATCTCAAGCTTACCAACAGGATGATGGTTGGTCCTGGATATTGTTGCAATGCTTTGAAGATAAAGATAAGAAACCCAAAGATTCTCTATTCCAAGCATATGCACGCTTCTTCCTTCTCCTTCAATTCTGCTTATTTCTGCCTATTTGTTATTATTATTGTGTTTCTTTATGGTTCTTTTCACAAACTTTCTCAATCTCCTTCTATATGTGTTTTTGTTGTTGAGTCTGTTGTCCGCATTTTTGTTGCTCTGAGTGGTTATTGAGTGGTTGTATGGTATGCAAAGTTTGGAATGTGTTAGGATATAGGTTTTGTGAGGGAGGTTCAATGAACAACAATTTAATGAACAATCAATGGAGAGGCTGTGTTGTAGTGGTTCACTGGTTGAGTAAGGGACAAATCCAGTGTGGTTTGGTTACAGTGCAAGATTGTGAAGAATGAGGGTAAATGGGCATATCTATGGTGAAGTCAGTGATGCATCCTTTTCATGATTTTGCAAGGATAAATAAGGTTGTGAAGTAGAGAAGAGAATGAATGAAATTGGTTTGAGAAATGGTTCAATGATGGTGATAAATGAAGGGTAAAGAATTAATGGAGGTGGATTATGTAGAGGTTAGAGAGTAATCTATTTTTTTCATCTACTGGATTGTTGGTCAATTTTCTGTGAATTGTTTATCTATACCAGCCTCTCATTTCTTGTGTGTATTTTTCTGTGTGTATATGGTATCAATTATATGAATATAGAATGGTTGATATAGAGGAATTAATGGGGATTTTAGGGGGAAAATTTGGGTCAATTTAAACAATTTTGACATGCTGATTTTTGCTTTTGGGATGCAGGTTTTGGTATGTGTTATTTGTGTACAATGTTGATAGATTTTGGAGGGGAGTGGACAAGTTTTGACAGTAGGAAACACAGGTTATGCAGGGCTGTTATGACATTATTTTTGGGATGATATGTTCAGGATTTTACAGGTTTATAGAGCAGTATTGCAGGCTGTTTTTGACATGGTTTTGGGCTAGTAGTAGCAGAACAGACAACATACATTATTTTTGGTCTGTTTTGCAGCAGGTTGATGCAGGGCAATATGTTTTATTGTGTTATGGATTGGTGTAGATAGGGTGTAGCAAAAAATAATTTTGGGTTGTCTTGTGAACATGTTTGGCAAGGATTTTGTAGGTTTGGACAGTTTGGTGCAAGCCTTAGACTGATGTAAGCCCCTTTTTTAGCATGATGTAGCATGGTTTTGGAGTATGAAGTGTAAGCATAGGCCTAGAAGATTAGAAACAAATTATCATGAACTTATGATTTCTTTTTTAACTCCTTCAACCTGTTTTGTAATTATATGGATGAATTTCCTTTAGGCATAAGAGCTTGAGTTTTTATTTTCCTTTTGTTTTAGCTTGAAAATTTGTAGAAACTTGAATTATCTTGAATTGTAATGCAATTAAGAAAAAGTCTTGCACTTTGTTCTTGCAACTTTTAAGAAGTAATGTTAATTTATCTTGTTCTGGACTGGGCCCGACAGGCCCAAAAGCATTACTAAGGCCCAGTCCAATGGGACTCGCTAAGGACCACAACGTCTATGCCCGACACCCTGATGTCCACCTCGACATCCCAGTGTGCCAGCCCACGCGACGAAGTCACGCTCGACAGACTGCCGTCCAGCTCTATGCCCTGGTTTCCAGCTCGACATTCGCTGTCCAGCTCGGGGTCTTGGCACCGAGCTCGACATCACGCTGCACTGCTCGACATGGACTCAAGCTACCTTGCTAGGGCAGACTCAGTCACCATTGCCCCAACGATACTCCGTAAAGACCGCGTCTCTGTCCGCCCGCACTTCACGCACCACATCCAGGGAGGGGACCACGTGCTGATCCCCACTACCCACGTAGGACCTGGCAGTTCCTCCATTGGGCCAAATCCGCCCGGCCCAGTGAAGGAACCTTGGCCCAGCGCTGGGGGCTATAAATACCCTCTGCTTCCAGAGGGTCAGGTAATCTTCAATTCGAACCTCAACTCTATTATCTGCTAGTACTCCCACTGACTTAAGCATCGGAGTGCCTTGCAGGTACCCCCCCCCCCTCCTCGTTCAAAAAGCCTTCAGCTCGGAGCAGCCGTGACGGTCCAAACCTTCTGATCAGGTCAGATCAGTGGCGCCGTCTGTGGGAAACAGCTTCCCCGTCTAACGAACAGTTTTCAAAGACCAAAGCTCAATCCATTCACTGTCATGGCCTCTCCAACTCGTGAAGAGCAACACACTCGCGTCCTCGACGTCAACAACGGTCCCGCGGACAAGAATGGGCACCTGGACAATCCCAGTGGTGCCGGCCACAATGCCGCCCCCCTGACAACCGCCCCTGGACCTTCCACCCGCAGGGACGGTAACACTGCGTCCTCCTCGACAACTCCCCCAGAACTCGAGGACGATCCGGAAGCTCTCGCCTATCGCCAGGCTGCCCGGTTCTATGAAGTCCAGGCCCCTGTCGGAGCAGATGCCACTGCTCAGGCACTGTTCGCTGCCATCAACCAGACGAACTATCTCCTGTTCGCACAAGGAGAAAGACTTAGGGCACTGGAAAATGATCGACGCCCCCCGAGGAGACATCAAAGGCCACCATCTCCACTTCCTCGGGTCGAAGAAGCTCGACACCCTACTCCCCCGCGGAGACATTACAGGGAAATCTCTAGGAGCCCCTCTCCCGCACCAAGGCAGAGGCGGCCCCAATACGAAAGACAGCCCGTCATACCTGCCGAAGAGCCTGTCCGCGACGCCTCAAGGCACGAACGGAGGCACAACAGAGACGGACATGTGACCTTCGCCCACCGAACGTCACGTTCAAGGGAGTCCCAGCACGAGCATCGTGCCCGACACAACTACAGGACCCTTTCTCTTTCTCCAGAAAGGAGCGACGAGGACGACCCCCGCGGTCCCCTGTCGCAGGCAATCATGGACGCACCTATCCCCCCGGGCATGGAGAAGCCCCCACACCTAAAGGAGTACGATGGGGTGGCAGACCCAGTCGACCATATTGACGGGTTTGAAGCCATGCTCCACTATCACAATGTCGGGGGGCCAATCAAGTGCCGTCTCTTTCCAACGACTCTCAGGAAGGCGGCCATGGACTGGTACAAAGGACTTGCCCCGGGCTCCATCACCTCGTGGCGGAACTTGAAGAACCAGTTCATCAGTTCCTTTACAGCCTCTCGTCGCCACCCAAAGACAGAGGCAGCCCTCGAGGCCATCATCCAGAGACATGATGAGACCTTGAGGGAATTCATCAACCGCTTCAACCGGGAAGCAATCCAGGTCCCCTGCGCGGACCACATGAAGAGGTATTTGCTGGAGAGGGGCCTCCTCCCCGGCACCGAATTCAGGAAAGCTGTAGGCATCGAGCCACCTGCAACTTTTGATGCTCTCCTCGACAAAGCTCGAGCATATATGGATTACGAGGAGAGAGAAGCTGCCAACAGGGCACGGGACTCCAGAGCCCGCAACCATGGAAGCAGCTCAAGACAAGACCCTCCTCCCCGACGCACCGGAGAGAAGAGGAAGGAAGACAGACCCCGGGAGGTCCGGGAACAAAGGGGCCCCTCGGGCAGGTTTACTGAGTACACTCCGCTCACGGCTTCCCGCGAGCGTATTCTGGCGGAGTGTGCAAGCACAGATTTCAAGGACGGTGGCGTCAAGCGTCCCCGACCAGCTCCTGCCAAGCCAGGAGTAGATAAAAACAAGTACTGTCAGTACCATAGGAGTCATGGTCACTTGACAGAGGACTGCGTCCACCTGAAGGATGCTATTGAAACCCTCATCAAAGGAGGGAGACTTGCGCAGTACAGGAAAAACGACGCTCCCCGTCGTGAAGCCCGTGAGGCAAAAGAGCCTGAAGAAGATGCCCGACCATCTGACGAGTCGGTGCCAATCCAGACCGCCTACGCAATAACCAGGCCCGAGGATTTCGAACTTCCCGAGCTCCTGCAGGAGCCCCTGACTACTCACAGCAGGTGGGAATACTTCCCCTCCGCCATGGTCATCAACGGGGGCGGGTTCAGCGACCTCACCATCAACTCAGCCAAGAGAAAGTTGGACGAACTGGTCGACAAAGCTCCTCCTCAAACTGTGACTTTTGAAATGGTGAGGGGCAGGTCAGAACCCATCACATTCTACTTGGAAGAGCTCCCCGGCGGAGCACCGAACGCAGTCATCCCCTTGCTGATAAGGGCGAAGATGGCTAATTTTGATGTGCATCGCATCCTGGTCGACGAGGGGAGTTCCGTCGACGTGATGTACACCCAGCTGTTCCGGACCTTACAACTGGACGAATCCCATCTGTCTCCATACATAGGTTCGGACCTTCAAGGCTTCAACAGCTCGACGTCCAAACCTTGGGGATATGTCGAGCTCCTCGTGACATTCGGGGAAGATACTGCTACAAGACAGGTGAAGGTCCGCTTCCTCGTCATTGACTGCCCATCCCTGTACCATTGCATCCTGGGGAGGCCGACACTGGCGGAACTGACAGCGGTCCCTTCAACTGTCCACCTAAAGATGAAGTTCTATACCAAAAGGGGGAGGGTAGCCACCATCCAGGGCGACCTCGCTGCTGCCCGCCGGTGCTTCAACGCCGCTTCAAGGGGTCGGGATACTGTCGACGTGGGTCCCAGCACTAGGCCCGTCAAGAAGACAAAGCAAGAGCCCGACACAGCATCTCCTGAGGTAGAAGCTCAGAAGGCTCCACCAAAGGTCGACTCCATTGCGCTCGACGCACGTTTTGACGAAGATGAGCCGGCCAGCAGCGAGCAAATCCCCCTCCGACCTATTCCGGACGGTGATTTCGAACTCGTTCCCCTTGGAGCAGACCCGACCAAAGGAGTGAAGATTGGCAAGGACCTCCCCGACTTGGCCAGGAAGCAGATCAAGGCCTGTCTGCGCGAGAATGCTGATCTCTTCGCCTGGAGCGCTGCAGAGATGCCCGGACTCGACCCTGAGGTCGCCTGTCATCACCTCGCCATTGATCCGGCCGCCAAGGCAGTAGTACAACGTAGGCGTAGGCAGTCTCCAGAAAAAACGGAGGCTGCTGAAAAAGCTGTAAAAGACCTCCTAGAGGCAAATTTTATTTCTGAAGCCCGGTATTCCACCTGGCTGTCAAATGTTGTACTTGTCAAAAAGAATAATGGAAAGTGGCGTATGTGTGTTGATTATACCGATCTCAATCGGGCTTGCCCGAAGGATGCTTTTCCTCTACCGAACATTGATATGCTGGTCGACAACTCGACCGGCTACAAAACTTTGTCGTTCATGGACGCTTACTCGGGATACAATCAAATCCCAATGGCTCCGGGCGACAAACGCTGCACGGCATTCATGACCAGCTCGGGCAACTATTACTACAACGTAATGCCCTTCGGACTGAAGAATGCCGGCGCGACGTACCAACGCATGATGAACAAGGTGTTCAACAAACAGATCGGAGACATGCTCGAGGTATACATGGACGACATGATCGTTAAATCCCGGGCAGACACCGATCATGCAGCTCATCTCAAGACTGTCTTCGCCCAAGCAAGACAATGCAAAATGAGGTTCAACCCCGAGAAGTGCACATTTGGGGTTAAGGCAGGAAAGTTCCTCGGATTCTATCTAACAGAACGAGGCATCGAAGCCAACCCCGACAAGTGCCGAGCGTTTGCCGACCTCCCGACTCCAACGTCGAAGAAGTCGATACAGATAATGAACGGCATGTTGACATCGCTTTCGCGCTTCGTCGCGAAGTCCGCTCAGCACGCCCTTCCCTTTTTCAAACTCCTTCGAAAGGAAGCAGCTTTCGAATGGACCGAGGAATGCGAACACGCACTTCGCCACCTGAAACAGAGCCTGTCTCAACCGCCCGTGCTGTCTCGACCTGATGACAACGAGCCGCTTTACTTATACTTGGCTGTTTCAAACGAAGCCATCAGCGCAGCTCTTGTCCGCGAGACTCCCGACGGGCAGAAACCTGTCTACTTCACGAGCAAAGCCCTACAAGGCCCCGAGAGCAGGTATCAACAGATAGAAAAGGTTGCACTGGCCCTCGTCAATGCTGCGAGGAGGCTCAGACACTACTTTCTGGCGCACA